TTTGGTTGTTGTTTAAGATATAAGGGGCGATTTGGGAAATACAAATCAATCGTACTAAGTAGTTTCACTTTTATGTTATTCAGGTTTGTAACAGAAGAAAAGATGTATCAAGACAAGTAGATAGTTTATAAGGCGGATGTGGACCCAGATCTAGGTAAAACGTATTTTGCATAACCGGATGAATGGCTTAAGCGTGATTTTTTTTTTGCCAATTGAGATCTTATTCATTATTTATTTTTATTTTTTTTGTAGATTTAGACAGTAAATGATAGGTTTTGGAAAGCTTTGTTGGAAGAGATTTAATACAAATAGGACAAAAGATTCACTAATTTTGAGTATGCTTTGGTTTTATTATGGATGTTTTTTTTTTTCGATTTAATAAGGTTATTTTCTTGAAGCTGCTTACCGGAGTTTTTCATCTGGAGCATGAAAGGTCACACATTGGACATGAAAGGTCACACATTAGACTCCTGTACTTACAAAATCATAACTGGTATAATCGGTTTACCATCTAAGATTTAGATGACCATGAGGTTTTTTTGATTGGAATAAAGGCTAAATAAAATAGGTAAATCTCAGGAAAAGTCCTAATATTTCATCCTAATTTACGAAAAAATCTCAAACTAAAATTTGTTTATGAAAAAATCTCAATTACCGGTAAAAATGACGATTTGATCCCTTTTTCCTGGTTTACCGGTTTCATTACTTACCTGGTTCCATTAAAATCTCATTATGTTACCATAATTTACGAATAAGTCTCAAACTAAATTTAAGTGATGATTTAGCCCTTTTCTCGCTGTAACATACATATTACCGATATCATTACTGACCTGGACGCACAGACATTAAATGAGCTAATGATATGGATATGTTAGGTTATATAATGTTATGTTTACCATAAAATGATATCATAATCTACTGTATATTTTTTGAAATATAAAATGCATCCAACGAAAACTACAATATTTATATAAACTAGCAACAAATTCGTCATTTTTAAGTTTATAAGAAATTTCAAATTGTCTATCTAATCTTATATAACCCAATATATCTATCTTATAAGCTCATTTCCTGCCCCTTTTCCCAAAAATATACATTTTACCGGTTTCATTGCTGATCTGGATAGATAATCATAAATGAGTTGATGAGATGGATATTAAATTTTACGGTAAACGTAGCATTATATAACTCATTATATCCATCTTATCAGCTAATTTAATGAGTAGACCTCCAGATCAGCAATGAACCCGGTAAAATATATGTTAAATTGAGAAATGGCAAAATCATTACTTAATACTCCCTCCGTCCCATATTAATAGTCCATGTTTCATTTTTGGTTTGTCCCAAAATAATAGCCAACTTCTAAAAATAAATATGTCTTTTACCATAATATCTCTCATTATTAGTTAAATTATCATGAAATTAAATGCAACTACCATCAAATTAAATGCAACAAAATGGTAAGACTGTCATTTCATTTAATAAAGTTAATGATAATTAATGTTTTCTTAATCTATGTGTTTTTTGTCTGTGGCCAATTATTTTGGGACGGAGGGAGTATTATTTTGGGACTTATTCGTAAATTAAGGTAAAATGATGAGAATTTATTGAAACCGGGTAAGTAATGAAACCGATAAACCGGAAAATGGATCAAATCGTCATTTTTACAGGTAATTGAGACTTTTTAGTAAACAAATTTTAGTTTGAGACTTTTTTCGTAAATTATGGTAAAATATTAAGACTTTTCTGGAGATTTCCCAATAAAATATAGATATTTTAAAATCTTTTGAGTATAAATGTTGTAGAGTATCTGATTTTGGCAGTAAAAGTTGTAGAAAAAAATGTTTTTGGTTTGATTTATTAGATTACTGGATTAATGAATTTTGATGGGTAAAAGTTATAACGGTATCGGTTGAAATTTTTTAATCAAAATGAGTTTACTTTCATTTTTCATTTTTTCATTTTCGCTTTAAATCAATTTGTTTTGAAGCCTAAATCATAGCAAACTTTTTTAGTCTTTCATAACTTCAATAATTTCATCACGAATCTTAATATAAACTATTTTTTTTGGTTTCTTGTTTTAAGTTACAGGTGCGTGTGCGTGTGCAACTTAGACAAGATCTTGTATGCAGCACGCACAAGTTGTATAGTCTTGACGGCGTTCTTTCACCTGAACTAGCAAACTCTCCTTTCCTCCGGTCCTTGTAAATCCTCTTTTACACAGTTAGAAGAAATGTGAAATCTCTTTTTTACCCTTTAATTTCATAATCTTTTAAAGTTCTCCAGATTTAACGAAATTGATGAATAGTCCGTTTTATTTGCAGTGATGTTGCCTACAATTTCTTACAACCTAAATGGGGTTTAACACAATTAGAAGGAATGTGAAATCTCTTTTTTACCCTTCAATTTCATAATCTAATTTTAAGACAACTACAAAGTTTCCAATCTTAAGCTTATTCTTTCGTATATAGTTCGCTTCTTGGCAACCAGAAATCCCACCAGAACTTGGCAATAACAAGACTGTAAGCTCATTTTGTTTTGTGGGCAATTTGGACATTTTACCATAAGGATCAAATTATTTTTTGTTTATATACTCATCAAAACAAACTTTCAGGAACCATTCCACCTGATTTAGGGAGATTAATCAATTTGCAATCTTTGTAAGAATGATCAAGTCTTTGATTTCTGTAAACGTAATTATTATTCAATAAAAAGTTTATTTATTCAATTAAATTTCAGGATCTTGTCTTCAAACAGTTGACTTGGAGGCTGCCGATTACGCTTGGTCAACTAGGAAATCTAACAAATTTGTAAAATCTTTGACTTTCTTTGATTTTGCCATTATTTGAAGGCTAAAACTAAGAAAAAATTTCTTTATAATGCAGTAGGATAAACAAAAACAACTTCACCTGATTTTTATACAGATTTGGAGACTACTTTCTAGATTGTAAGAGGTTCTATCTTTTCTTTTCGAGCTAAATGCAGGAAATAGCAACACACTTTCATTTATTTCTCATATATTAATTATAGCATCCTACTTTAATTTCTTTCTGTTAAAGCATTGTTCTTTTATTTTATTTTTTGTTACTAAGGAAGGCATTATACTTTGAAAACTCTGCAATTACAATATTGTCCTTTCGATTTTTTTATTACTGACATCGTACTTTGAAAAATATATCCATTTAAAACAGTGAAAATTGTTTTGTATTTAGGTGACATTGCTATAAGTAGGTATATTTGTCAAAGTTCACTAATGTAATAGGAGAAATGAAAAAATAATATTGTAATAAATAATAAATCAAGGAAAGTATATTGCTATTTTTTGCATTTGTGTTTTTAGAGACCCGTTGTTATTAAACACATAGATTGCTGTTTTGTTTACCTCTCTAGAAAGTACGTTCCCATAAAATGTACATACTGCAGGAAATAATTTGTTAATTAACCACTAAAGCGGTCAATTTTTAACCTTTAAAGTGACATTTTCAAACTTTAATCACACTTGATTCCGATTCATTATTTTTTTACCTTTCTTTTGAGTTTTATTGAAGTTCATTTTAACCTTGGACTGACTTTTGTTTTGTTTTGTATAAGGTGCCACAATTTGAATCCGCTACCATCACAGTTGATCCTGATTTGAAGGTAACCAATGACTGTATTTTATGTTTTTGTCAATGGTTGTTTTTGTTACAGTGGTTGTACATAATATATTTATGTTTTTGTTAGCTTACCCTTCATTGGAAACAGACACCCACCCACGTACACACACTGAAACATGTTTACAATTTCTTATTTTTTAATGTTACAGGATTCAGAAAAAAACTACAAAGCCATTGTTGCTTATATATGTAGCTACTTGGATGTTTGCATTTTACGGTGATTACTCCACATCTGATCAATAGACCACAAAAAAACAAACAGAACTCAACACCTTCCGTCCCACGGGGAAACCTACTAGTTGTAAATAATAATAAAAATGTAGCATTAAAATTTGAAATAGAAAAACATCTAAATGAAAACGATCCAATCAAATAAAAAATACAATTAGATCAATAATAAATCCTCAATGACTTTACACAAGTAAGTTTGGAACTTATTTTCACTGCATCTTTGAATGAAGTCATTACAAAACACCACATTTTTCCGTTTGATATGTACATGTTTAAGTTTGGAACTTTCTTTGAAACTCTATATGTATTTATATATAAATTTGCCTTTGTCTATCCCTATCGTGTATTTAAATATGTATTAAAAATCAATGATGCATATAAAGATTTGGCCAGTTAAGATGATTGTTTAAATAAGGCATCACAAGTGCATCAGTCCACTCCTTTTTGAAAAGAGCGTTCCTGCGAAGATTATGAATGGATCCAAATGCATCAGCCCACTCTCTTGAAAAACTCTATCTTGATAATTATATTTATTTTTGCTAAGCTATTTGTTCATAGCATCAAAGAATCTTAAGATAGAGTTAAAATGATACCCAAGGTTAAAACTCTAACCATGAACTATAAAACTGATAAAGGATATTGAAGCATACGTGCCCCATCACTAGAATTGGGCCAAAGCCAAGAATAAACAATTCATTATTGGAGCACAAGCCCAACATAGAGAGAAGCGTGCCCATCGTTTTGTGAAATACATTGTCTATATTTGGTTAACGAGAATGTTTTCTCTAACAATATAGAAGCAACCTTAAATGGAATAACATCATTGAAAACATTTTTTCTTGAACTTGTTTCGCTATTTTTACAACAAGAGAGTAATTGTTACATTATTATTAGTATAATTAAAACCCAACTTAAATGTAAAAAAAAAAAAAAAAGGAAATAGAAATTACCATCGAAAAGCCCAGAAGTGCTTATGATGCCAACAACTTACCAACTAACCCAACCTTAAACCCCAACAATCCATCTCTCTTGTTTTCCCAAAAAGATTTCAGGAACCATGTCGGAAACCTTCTTGGTCAATTCAGCATTTGAAAAAGAATGCCAAATTCAAATTTACATGCTCATTTGCCCATAACTCTTCTTCCATTGGATGGCAATCGGGCTTCTTACATTGTGCATTCCATCGCTCCATTCAATGGCCCCAAACACCGCACTTCCACCACCACCGGAGCTGAAAGTGATCTCATATTCCACTTCTTTCTTCTCTTCACTAAACTCAAGCTTCACCGGTGACACAACCACCTCCACCCCCTGCGGAGCACTCACTTTCACCTTATAAACCGCATCCACCTCACTCCCTACGTTCTTCACAACCCTGTTGTACTTCACAACTCCGCCGGTTTTGGAATCAAACACAACAGAAAAAGATGGGTAGTTTAGATCGCCGGGATTACTGAACTTTCCCTCGCTGCAATCCACTGGATCTTTTGTAAAAGTAGCTATTTGCTTGGAGTCGTATCCAATGGCGCAAAGGAAGGACAAGTAATCATCGACACCAGCGTCGTATACCAAACCTGGATTAAGGGCTCTGTTTGGATCCACGTGTCCTGATCCGTGAACGAACGGTGTGGATTGTTCGCCGGTGGCAAGGTCGGTAATATTCTTTCCGGTGTCGTCCAAGTAATAAGCGGTGGTCATGAGTGCAGATTTTATAGCAGCTGGTGTCCACGTCGAGTGGGCCCGACGGAGCAAAGCGGCTAGGCCACTCACATGAGGACATGACATCGATGTACCAGATATAATATTGAACTCAACCCGTCTAGAGTCAATATCCAAATCGGTCGGGCTGGTGTACCCGGTCCAAGCGGCTAGAATGTTAACGCCGGGAGCAATCACGTCAGGTTTGATGATCTCCGCCGTGCGGTAGTTCGGCCCACGGCTTGAGAATGAAGCCACACGCGGTGCTGATGGTGATGTTCCGATGATTGTCCCTTTGAAGACAATCGTCGCCGTTGGTGACGGATCGGATTTTAAATATTCTTTTATCTTATCTCCACCTGCAGCACCAACCATAGTTGCAGGTAGGAGATGCGCATCGGCGAGAAGTTCTTCGCCGTTCTCGTCTAAGTTTGTATGTATCATTCCGACGCCTCCGGCTATTTTAACGGCGCTTCCCTTTTCAACCCTTGCGTTGCCTCCACGATCGCATATCACGATTTTGCCGGCGACTAGTGTGGAGTTTAGTTGTCCGGAGTAACAGTATCTACTACCACAGTCCCCTGCGTAAACTAGAGGATATTGAGTGTCGTCGAGTCCTTCACCGGAGTAAAGAGATACGCCTCCGTAAACCCTCCCATCGCCTAGAACAACGTCTGCCGGAAATTCTCTGTCGATTGTGGAAGCTCCAACCGTAAGAATCCAAGGAGCGATGTTAGTTGCAGTATAAGGATCAGGACCGGAATTTCCTGCGGAAGCGGAAAGGAGAATACCGTGTTGCATCGCTCCAAAAGATCCAATAGCAATGGAATCTCGGTAATACTGAGGAGCATAACCAGAAGATCCTACCGATAAAGAGATGATGTTTACACCATCATCGATAGCTTGATCCATGGCGGCAAGTATATCGGAATCATAGCAGCCTTCGCTCCAACAGATCTTATAAACAGCAATCCTAGCCTTTAGTAGCCATACCTCTGGCTTCACCTCTTGCAAACTCAAAAAATCCGGCATCCTTCACAATCGCTCCGGCAGCCGTAGAAGCCGTATGAGTTCCATGACCTTCCGTATCCCTAGGAGAAAGAGTACCACCGGTTTCATTCAACCGGCTACCAAGACTTGCTGTATAACCTCTATAATAAGCCTTAGCCCCAATAATTTTCCGATTACATGCCGTCGCAGGAAAATCCGACGTGGTTTCACAACTACCTTTCCAAGTAGACGGAACCGGTGGTAGTCCTTCGTCTGAAAAACTCTCTCGTTCAGGCCATATCCCGGTGTCAAGCACTCCAACAATAACATCATCACCATATTCCGAGTTTGGCCAGATACCAAAAGTATCCGCCAAACCAAGGAAGCTAGGTGTATGCGTGGTATGAAGCGTTCTCCGGCGATCCGGGATCACAGAGAGTATCCCCGGGAGACGACGGAGCTTGGCAGCCTGAGCTCGAGTCAACCTAACAGAGAATCCGTTGACAGAGCGTTCGTAGGTATAAAGGATGTCAGACGGTTGATGAGACGTCGAAACAGATCCGACGATGGAGGAGTACCACCGATGATGAGTGGAAAACGTGGTAGGTTTCTCAGATTTTGAAGCGTGGATGATATAAGTCTTTGTTTGATCGATTGATCGCGTCTGAGTGGAGACAGTCACAGATACAAAAGAGAAAAACAAGAAACAAAGGAGAAGAAGAGGAGGTGGGAGTGAAGTCGCCATTGTTGGGTATCTTGAATATCCTTGGGAAAAAAAGGAAATATGAAGATAAGAAGGCCACAGAAAAAAGATTAAAATTTTAAAAGTGGGAGATTGAAACACGTCGGACTAATCGATTGGTTGATCTAAATGGACCACTTGTAAGTATTACCTACCACTACGCTACTTGTAAAATAATTGGACAGCCAATCAAAATCGTACTAGTCATTCACGATTAGATATTATTTTTAAATTCATTTAAAGAACGAATTGTATTATATATATATATATATATATATATATATATATATATATATAAGGGAAAATAACACTAATATACAAAAAATGGGGTGAATTTCTAAATTTAGTCATAAATTTTGATTTTTCCAGCTATAGACATACGTTCCGCGGAGGACCCTCTGCGGAATGACGTCATCTCCGCAGACCACTCGAAAGTATGATTTTTTAGCCTTTAAATTAGTCCTCCGCGTAGGCCCTCTGCGGACACAATAAGAGCTCCGCAGAGTGAGTTGTTTGGAGTCATAAGTACCTCCGCGGAGATGCTTACGAGGACCTCCGCGGAGAGAGTAATGTCTCCACGGAGTGGGTGGTTGGAACGGCCATTTTAAAGGGTTTTTTGATACAAAGTGTTATTTTTTATATTTTTAGGTCCATTTGGTCGATAGATCACTTCTTTTCATTTGATTTTCCAAAAAAAATATGAGTCTTGTTATTTTATGTACTGGGGGGTTTTAGCAGACTTCAAATGTGATTAACACATACGTTAGACCAAAGTTTAACAACTTAGGTCTACTGCTTCCGCCAAATTTTAATCGTCGAATATTGTTTGATTTGGTCAAAAGTAAGGCTAATGTGTTCAACAGTAATATATCATTGTCATTTCAACACCCGGTTCATGGGTATGTTATGAATATTTTAGACGAAGCAGATGTTTATCAACTCAGAAATGTAATTTCTGAAACGAAGGAAATTGTGCATTTGTATTTAGAGGTGTTTCAGGGATTGGTCGAACAGACAGAAGCGGTTCAGAAAGTTGTACCATACAATGTTGAAAACGTTGTATCTGATAATGTTGAAGAGTGTCCAGAAGAAGAAACTGTGGCAGTGAATACGGTGGAAGAAAAAAATTTATATGAGTTTGGAAGACTGACTGACAAAACTTTGTCAGACGGTGAAGAGTAGAATGAAGGATGGTCAGAAGATGAGTTCACACACGGGAAAAAAGCTTCAGACATATTTTACGGTATGCCTCCCATACCTGATTGTCCTGATCCTATTGTTGAACCCGGACCATGTCACAGTTTAGGTCCAAATGATGATATGTTTGTTCGTCAAACATATGATAACAAACAACAGCTAATATTTGCTTTGAGTCTTAAAGCAACCAGAGAAAAGTTTCAGTTTAAGACCAAACATTCTAACAAAAATCGTTATGAGGTATATTGTGAAATTGAGAACTGTTGTTGGCGTTTATATGCAAAACGCCTTGATCCCACTGATGAATTTGAAATCAGGACTTTCAACAACGTGCACACATGTTCGTCATTACAGATACACCCTAATCATAAGCATGCTAATAAAAAAGTGATGGGTACTATATTGCATGAGATTATGGGAAAAACTCGTTCCAAGGTTTGGAGGCCTAATGAAATATCAAGGGATTTGAATGCTTTGCTGGAAATCAATGTAGATTACAAACAAGCTTGGCGTGCAAAACAATATGCTATGGAACTGTTGTTGGGATCCTCAGAAGAATGTTTTTCCAAACTTCCTATTTATTTTCACAATTTGAAGAGGCATAATCCTGGTACAGTGGCCTATATTCAAACAGATTTTGAAGATTATTTCGAGTGTTGTTTTTATGCCATTGGGAGCACGGTAAATACAAAAAACTTGTTGTTATTTAATATAATTTTTTTTAAACAAACTATAGAGTGTTTATGTGTTCCATTTTAATATATTGCAGATACGAGCGTTCAAACGTTTTTGTCGTAAAGTTATAATTATGGATGGTGCTCATTTGAAGGGTGATTTTAAGGAAACCATATTGCATGCAGTAGCTATGGATGGGAACAACCAGATACCGCCCCTTGCGCACGGAATATGCAAAAAAGAGAGTGGTCTTACTTGGACATGGTTTCTTGAAAAGTTGTATGAATGTGTTGGTGATTGTCAAGAATTGACTTTTGTCACTGATAGGGCCGATGCAATTCGGGTTAGTATTGAAAATGTTTTCCCACATGCTCATCATGGCGTGTGTGCTTTTCATCTACTAGGAAACATAGTACACATGTTTGGGAAAATTGATAAAACAAAAGTGTTGTTTTGGAGGCTTGTGAAAGCTTACAAAAAGAAATGTTTTTGAAGAATTGTGGTATAGATTTAGTTCTACTAGGCCGCAAGTAGCAGCGTATCTAAATGAAATTCCCCGTGCTAAGTGGACTAGAGCATATTCGCTGTCGAAACGGTACGATTACATGACCTCGAACAGTGCAGAGTCCATGAATGCTTTATCTGTAGATGCAAGGAAGATGCCTATAATACCCCTTCTTGAGTTCTTCCGTCGTCTTTCACAGTAATGGTGTAACAAGCGTCGCATCGAAGGAGGTATGAATTTAATTTGGACTTTAATTAGGTCGAATAATAAGTTAATTATATATATCTTCTTTACAGGGAAACGTTCAACAGTGCTAACCAAGTGGGCTGAAAAAGTAGTTAGTAAAAATGAAGAACGTACGACAGGATGGTCCGTTTCTGGTGTTTCAGATGCAATATATCAAGTTCATGATTTCAAACATGGTGGCATAGTTGATCTGAGGCAAGAGACTTGTACATGCAAATATTGGGAAGGAACTGGGTTGCCTTGTGGTCATGTCATAATGGTCTTGAAGCACTTGAAAAAAACTAACTTCGGACATCTGGCTATAGATGCTTACAAAATGGTAACGTACCAAAGTACGTACGAGGAGCCAGTTTACCCCCTTCCAGAACCGTGTGATTGGGAGATTCCTGCTGAGATGATGGTTGTTAAACCCCCGATAATGGATACACGTCAAGCTGGTAGACCGAGAAACAGAAATTGTATCCCGTCACAAGGTGAGGAACCTACAGTAAGAAGGTGTAGTAGATGTGATAGTACAACACATAATGTAGCGACTTGTCTGACATTGGTCCCAAAGAAACAAAAAAAGGCTACAAAAAGTAGTGCAACATCAGGTAGTAACACAAAAGGGAAAGGGAAAGGGACAGAAGGGACTCAGGAGATGCTAGATACGCACGAGACACAAGAGACGCGTTGGACAAGTGGGACGCAGAGAGAAGACTATTGTTCAACGTTTGATTTGAATGATTGATGTTGTATTTATAATTAATTATGTTTTGTTTTAGAGGACATTAATTTGTGTACTTTGAAATGGTGTGTTTATTTTAAAGATGATGGGTATTATTATGATTATATTAGTGCATAATTACTAGTACAATAATAACTACTACTCGAAGATAATACATTCAACAAACCAGAAACATATATTAAACGTACAACAACAGTAATTAACTTAAGGGAATTGCAAAGGATACTTTTCTTTCTCCATTGTTATGTAGTCGTCCCTAATTCTTATTTTATCTTCCATACGGTCCTTTTGGATACCAAGTTCTATCATTTATGCATCCTTGTCAGCAAGCCATTTTTCAGACAGTTTGATATTCTTCTTAGTTTTTTTTATCCAATCCTCATGATCTTTGATTTTTTTTAGTAATCGTCATCATTTCCTCAACCTCTTTGCACTCCGCCGCAATGACGTCACGACGTTCACACCTCAACCTCTTTGCACTCCGCCGCAATGACGTCACGACGTTCAGTGAGAGCTCGAGATGAGTCTTTATCTTTTTTTTTGTTGTTCTTCAGCCCATTGTAGTTGTTGCAAAGTATCCTCCGACATATATGGCTCTCTTAAATTTGGTGATGGGGCAAGAAAATGGTCGATCGGATCACAATAGAAACAATCAACTTCGTTGCACGAGCAAATATACAAAGTTGAAGATGAACTCATTTTAAATTTAAAAAAATTTATAACTCTATACCATAAATCCAACGACCATCCATGACTATATATAGTCCCTTCCACTCCGAAGAGAGCTGTTGTCAGTCCGCAGAGCTTTTTGTCAGTCCGCAATAATGTTTGTCAGTCCGCAGAGCTTTTTGTCAGTCCGCAGAGCTGTTTGTCTAGTCGTTGTCATCCATACATTACAATTATGGGAATACAATTATTTATTTAAATTAAACATTTTTTATTAAAAAGTGAAGAACGCCAACATACCATTACAACTACGGTTAACATAGAACTGAATACAAATTAATATTCGTTGTGATCCATACAATACAGTTCAATTGAATTGTCGTGGAGGTAAGACCACAACACTTTCAACTGGTATTTCCCAATGCCTAAGGGTTGGAATAGGATTGACCGTCTCAGTTTGATAAGCATTTCTATACACCGCTGTAGTTAACTTTAAATTTACCATTTGCTGGATTTCTGCAATTTCGAGTCTTTGTAGTGAAGCTATAGCATGCTCACAAGGTATACCACATTTTTGCCATTTACCACAACTACAAATACCACGGTCTAATTGGACAGTTTCGGTTGTTGAATATTTAGTCACTTCGTATCTGTCGCCAACAATATGCGTAATCCTACAACCATCCGAGTGGATAAATCTTTTATGTATCACCTTAAGTGCATAAGGGGTTAGAAGACCATGAAAATCCCCTGTGAAATGAACTGAATCAAAAAAACAAAAATTATGATGTCATAATGTATAATAACATATCAATTCACCATTTGAGTGATGTCATAACTTATAATTACCTCCAAACGCAGCACGTTGAAGATACACTGCTTGCATCGAGTCATGGACCATTTCAATGATTGTTGTTATTGGAAACTCATGCGTGTTTGTTTTAAACCAATTGACAACAACGGGAATGTCAATGAATTTAACATTGAAACGTACTCTTGGAAAACAAGCCCGTACCCATTTTGCAATGGGAATATTGTCAAGCCAATCAAGATCATTCCCATTAACCTCATTTTTTAAGTTGTTTAAACATGCATAAAAATGAGATAAATTATACGCTTTACAAGTCTTCCAGAACAATTGCTCTACGACTGTATTGCTTCCGATGGAAGCGCGTATTTCTCGGCTATATTTTTACAACAATAGCCATGATATGAATCAGGGTAGACTCTTTCAACTGCAAAGTCTATAGAATCTGACATATGGGTTATGAAACCAACTTCTGTATTGTCACCCCCAAACATTCTTTAAGCCTCCTCATGAACCATAACCATGAATTGTCACAGTATATGGTTCCCAAAGCAAACGCTATGAGAAGGGGTTCATGATTTCCATCTAAAGCAACCGCAATGTACATGGATCTTACATACGCCCCAACTAGAGGTACTTGACCAACGAATATGATTGGTATCATAGACGTGAGAAACGTACGAATCTGTAAGTCAACATGTGTTGGATTAGGCATGTAACAACTTGAAATAACTAAATATTTATGTACTATAAGGGATTACATACCACGCATCCCAATGCCACGAAACAAATTTGGAAACGATTGTACTGATCTTTCGTAATGTACGTGTAGGTGTTAGGATTGGTTCTTTGCAGATTATGGAAAAAAGTCGGTAGGCTGGAGAAACTTTTTCTTAATACCTGATTGACTGAACTCATTTTCACAACTTTGGACACCTTGTAAAAATGGAAATGCTTGTCCAATTTATAAGGAATTAGTATACATTATTCCGCAGAACTTACTTGTCAGTCCGCGTAAATGACTTGTCAGTACACGTAACTTATTTGTCAGTCCGCGTAACCTGTTTGAATGTATGGTTTTTAAACATGGGAATTATTTTTCATAAAAAAAAGGATAAATACCATATTACATATAATTAAAGCAATACAAGAACAATACAAAACGCAGTACTAGTTAAAAAAACGGGACATTTTTCAAAAGATTCCAAGGGGCTTCATACTCGAAACTCTGTCCGTTGCTAATGGATTTGTATTCTTCTTTAGCCGCGTCCAAGATGTCTTCCTCAGTATCATTCACACGATCGTCTTCAATCTTATTATAAAGATCATTGGATAACACAACTTCTGTTTTCAATTCATACCATTTTGCAGCTATATCAAGCGTGCTGCGATGGTTTTCTATGGTGGTTTCAGCGTCAGTGTTGAAGCTATTCGTTAATAGGACCCAAAACATTATATCCTCCCAACTGGTGTTCTCGTAGACATTAATATATGCACGAGTTAGAAGCAAATACTCGTTAGCGGTCCATGGGTTTGAACCCATTGTAAAACATACAAACTACATGAACTAAAACAGATTAGATGAAGTGATACATAATTTTTTGTCGTTTTATATAGACATAACAGTCCATAGCATTGTCAGTCCGCATTACTGACTTGTCAGTCCGCATAGCTATTTGTCAGTCCGCGTGACTGACTTGTCCGTCCGCATAGCTATTTGTCATTCCGCGTTACTGACTTGTCAGTCCGCATAGCTATTTGTCAGTCCGCGTTACTGACTTGTCAGTCCGCATAGCTATTTGTCAATCCGCGTTACTCACTTGTCAGTCCGCATAGCTATTTGTCAATCCGCGTTACTCACTTGTTAGTCCGCATAGCTATTTGTCAGTCTGCGTTACTGACTTGTCAGTCCGCATAACTATTTGTCAGTCCGCGTTACTGACTTGTCAGTCCGCATAGCTATTTGTCAGTCCGCGTTACTGACTTGTCAGTCCGCATAGCTATTTGTCAGTCCGCATAGCTATTTGTCAGTCCGCGTTACTCACTTGTCAGTCCGCGTTACCTATCTTTTTATATATAGTAAAGCAAGTATCTATACGTCCGAATTAGAGGTAAGGGATCATTACACAAAATGGCATCCAATGTACCAACGTCTTCAAATGCAGCTAATCTGTCTAATGCGTCTGCTCCAACTAATGGTACATCTCCATGGACGACAACAGAGGTGTTGGTCCTAACACGATGCTGGATTACCGTTTACGAGGGTCTGCCGGTAATAGCTCCCCTTAATTGCCTTCTTGGTGATGAATTGTCCCGCTTAGTAGCTTTGTTCAACTATAACGTGGGACAAGGACAAAAACGACTAAAACCCGATATTGTTAGTAAATGGATGGATTTAAAGACTAAAGTCACATGGTACAATCGATGCTACAATTATGAGAAAATGCGATGCTCTGATGCTGATGATGAAGAACTTCTTGAATACGTGAACGGATATTACCTGTGCCAGTTTGATGAAACTGAGTTCGAGTATACCGACGTTTAGAATCTGGTTAAAAATAAACCCTTTTTCATGTAGACGACTCTTTTATTCGTAATGTTTTATGTAATGTTTGTTAGTCGTTCATCTTTTATTTGCAATGTTTTCTGTAATGTTATTATGTTATTTCAAATGTTTGTTTTGTTTTTAATATATCGTAATATATGTTGGTGAATTATGTTTAAAAAAATATATGATACAAAAGTTGTTTGTATTAAACAAAACTACTAAAAACAAGTATTTCATAATAATGTATACAAACTTCCAAACATCAAGTTATTTAGTATCCCAAATAATATTTGTCATCTTATTTCTGTAGAGAAATCCCGCATCTCTACATGGCTTATCATTCTTCACCGGTACCCCCGAAGCAATCATTTCCATATACATGCTTACGAATACTCCACAATCCCCTCTATTAGCAATATATTCTTGTTGTGGCGCATCAACAATATCAATAAACTCCACAACTGCGTTCTCTTTGTGTCCATCGGGGAAATCCTTCCAGTAGTCAATCGCATCTAGCTCTTCGATTATACTATCCCCAAAACTTTTGAATTCTCCAGCAGTCAAGTACGTTGTGAAGTAATTCATACATCGTGCTGAATCATAAATGTGTACTTTCCAAATATCTAAATGTAGCACTGCCAAAAACCAATGGGCATGAGGAACGTTTATGGGGAATAGAACCTGCAAACAAAAACAAATGTAATAGTAATTAATTCGTTTCCTATATAAAATAAATAATTAATAAACTTAACTAACCATATCCACATCCTTCCATTTAGGATGACCTCCGATACGATTTGCAATATTCCTAAGAAAATATGTTTTTCCGTTTTGTAAATTAAGTTCTTGAGGGAATATCGTCAACCTTGCGTTCGCCGGCCGTCTTTCCATGAGCAAGACACTCCATATCGCAATATGCTGTACATTTTAAGATAAAAATTTTATAATTTTTTATATAAATTATCGTCTAAATATGTAGTTAAAATTTATATTTAACGAATGTTACCGAAGAAATTAACCACCCAGCGTCAGTAACTGCAAGTAACCTCGACCAAAACTCCACATCCAGTGTCAGCATATGCAGCCTATGTTTAGTGTTCAGGTTGGAAGAGATACTATTCCATTCTTTCCAAAAAGTCAACGTACTGGCAGCTTCAACACTGTCGAGCAGCAGATGATTTGAAACATCATTAATCTCTTCATTCACAATGTCTTCATTTGCTTTTTCAGGACTCTTCACCACTTTTTTTTTCTTTGCTTTGGTGATTTTCTTCAATTTTGGTGTGGATTGCATCTAAAAAATTATCATGTTAAATAAGGGAGGGATTATCAATATGTTAATATTTAAAAAATATACCAAATTTAAAATATGAGTTTTGTACCACTGTGAACGGAGTCCGTTGATACCATGGAACACCCCTCTTTCGTTGCGGCCTAACAATAGGAGTCATTTCTTTTGTGTGATGTTCAGCCACGTCCAATGACGGCTCAACATGCGTAGGTGTAGACTCAAATTCCCCCTCCAAACCATGACTACCTATATTATCATAGTCAAAATGTGTATCTTCCTCCTCTTCATTTATCATCTCTTCCTCCTCTCGAAACCTTCTGTCTGGTTCAAAATTTGTGTCGGGTTCATCTTTTTTCTGTAATACACGGTCTACTTTAGAACTTAAGTCAGCCACAAAGCCTAGTAGACGCTTCACTAATGCCTTTGTGCTCGTCTTCTTCTTCTTTTCCAATCTTGATGTGTCGTGTGACATATAACTTGTTTCTGTTTCAAGATGTTGCGAGGAAGAAGCATTTGTGGCAGATTCAGTCGAAGATGTTTGTATTTCGGACTTGTACATCCTTCTTCGAGCAGGCGAGGAAACAGGAGGTGGACTATTTCGGATGGGACTATGTTGCCGTGGGGGAGACTCTACAGGGTTAAGAGTCCAATTGACATAACGAACATAAAACGACAACATCAGCTCCTCCGGGTTTTCCTCGACATTAATATGTTCGGTGTTAGGCTGCAAAAATCAGATTGTTAGTTTAACATGAAAATATTTTGGAATTTGTAAATATTGATGATTGTTAATATAAAAACCATACCACCAAACACGTTCATTATTCGACAACATTGAACCCAATTCAACGGTGTTTTACTTCTCCACGCCCTCATCCGTGGCAATTCTGTCGGCGTGCGTATATAAAACTTGGTTGCCTCTGTGAACGTCTCCAAAATCCATATCTATGAAAAAAAATGTAAGTAATGTTCTATTATACTATAAAAGTCATGATACAAACTTATTATATAATACACAACGAAGTTCAAATTTTTATAGTATAAAAAACTAAACAGTGATAACTATTAAAATGCATTAGAAACTAACCTTAAACGGAAGCATAAAATCGGGAACGGTATACTTGTGTACTTTCTTCAATTCGGGATTGGACTCCTTCAATTATCTAAACTCTTCTATTTTCTTAAACATTCCACACATCATACGCGAAGTATATTTCCAGAAATACGTACCCCATGCAAACCTGCAATTTTCAATTTATTTATTATAATTAGTGAATTGCATACTACTGCGGGAATGCTTGTTTTAAATGTAATACCTGTTCCAATCATCTATATTATCAGCAAGCTTGTATACTGCTGCAGGAATGCCTGTTTTAACGTCCCGTCCATGTAGACCCTTCAACATAAAAACAAGCTGGATAAGCATCACAGCATCTTCATCTTGTAGTGCCAAATAATTCGGGGACATAATTAAGTCTTCTAAATTTTTCAGCCGTAGACGTGCATCAGAAATCTCTGGAAACAACCGAGCACGGAGATTTGAATTTAACGGACCCTTTTCGTCATGGAGTAAATCCACATAAGGACCAACTTTTAAACCACAAATCAAAATATATTCAGTTTCACCAAAACCCAACTGGATCCCCTCTACATCAAACAGAAACCTCCCCATCTCAAATATTTGTTGACACCTTACTTCGTGCAACATCATCTTATGCACAAGTAAGGGATCACCATTTGGATATGCATTCCTAAGAATATTCCAAAGGGGGAAGCTTCGAATAATATTCGCTGTGATTGTGTTAGGCGCGGAAAATAGTCTTTAATGATAGTCCCCACCACACCTTTCAAAGTTAAATCCGTTTTTTGATTAAGATCTTCATGCTACACAACAAAATAAAAAAAAATTATTATTTCATTTAAAAAACTACTAATTGAAAAAAAATATTATTCCATTATGAAATAAATAGCAACATACTTAAAAGTAGAAAAATAAAAATTGTGCAAAAACCATCACTCCGCGGAGGCTAGAGGTCATTCCGCGGAGGCCTCTCTGCAGAGTGACATCTAGCTTACGCGGAGTCTGTAATGTTGGAAACACATCACTCCGCGGAGAAGCCTCCGCGGACTGACGTCCCCCTCCGCGGAATGGATCATCCGCATTTTTAACATATCTGTAAACATAAAAATCCTAAATCTGTATACATATTCAATGTAATCAAATGGGTTTTCCTCTAATTTGAATCGTATTCGACATTAACAATTAGATGAGAATGTGAGAAATACCCGGGAACCGTATCCATCGGCCATTACATCGGGGAATCCGGGGTCCATCGGTGAAGGAAACACCTCTGCCACTTGATTTCGCCGGAGTTGAAGTCGTCGCCGGAGTTGAAGTCCTCGCCGGATTTGAATTCTTCAATCAACGTGCTGCGATGAGTCGATGCGGAGGGGGGACGAGGAACGGGACCAGTGGGGGCCAAAAGAGGAACCCTTTCTTTTTCTCAAAAAAATGGGTGGAAATTACCAAATTACCCCCGCTTCGCGGAGAATTCATGGTTCCGCGGAGGTCCGCGGAGGGTCCTCCGCGGAATGCGTGCCTATATTTGGAAAAAACGTTTTTTATGACTAAATTTTAAAATTTACCCATTTTTTTGTCTATTTGAGGTATTTTCCCTATATATAATCTCCCCTTTAGTTTATTATTTATTTACAATTCCACCCCTAAAGTTTTATTATAATTGTAACTATAAATAATATTTTTGACTTATTTATTGGTTTTTTTATATTATTACATTCTTATAATATTTTATAATTTTTAACGTAGAACAATGAAATAAAAAATATTATAAATGTAAACAAAGAGATTAAAATATATAAATAATGTTTTAACGTACCAACCTGTTAACTCATGAACCCGAATATAACCTGTGAATACATATAATTAAACGGGTTAGACGAGTTGTGTTCGGGTTGATGTTTCCAATACGCCAACCCAAACTCGGTACGATTGTCATCATTATTATAAATGATGTAAGACATGACGTTAAGGTAAGGTAAAAAAACAAAAAAAATGTCCCATGAAAAAACTCAATTGTTTAATTACCGGTGAAAAAAAAACAAAACAAAAAATGCTACTTGAAAAAAACTCATGCCATTACGTGATAAGTCACGTACCGACACATTAAATTTGGTGTTCTTTTTGACCGATTAAACCCAACATAATTTTGATTTTATTAGAGTCGGCGATTGACCAAAAAAATTCAAAACCAAAACCACCACGGGGCTCTAGTCTCGTTGTTTAGAAGTTTTGTAGTCTAAGGGGCTGTTTGGCAGGATCTTAATTTTTAAAATCTTAATTTTAAGAGGTTTGAATTTCTAAGAGGGTCTGAATTTTTAATATCTTAATTTTTTAATATCATGTTTGGTTGGAACCTCTGAATTGTAATCTATAAAAATAACCATTTTTTACCCTTCTATAGTTATGTGTTGTGCTAAATGATAAATGTATAATTGATAAAAATTCCAAATGATCAAACAATAACCAAATTAAACATAAAATCTTCCAAATTAACTTCTTTCAATCCATGAAAACCTAAACATGATACAATACAACCAAATTAAACATAAATTCTTCCAAATTCACTTCTTTCAATCCATGGAAACATAAATATCATATTCTTTCAATCCATGGAAACATAAATATCATACACTAGTCAAATAACAGTTAAAAATCACATTAACTAATGATTCAATAAAATAAACAGTAAAACTTAAACCAAAACTTGCAGTTTTGCAATACTTTGGCAATTAAAACACCTTGTTGAGGCAATTCAATATACACATGGTAAGCAATTCAAAATGGTTTGTTTAACAAAACTTCATAATCAATGCTTTTTTTAGGTACATAATATTTTGTTACTTTAATGGACTGTTAATTTGAATGAGCTTCAAACATGGTGGTGCTTGTGATCTCAGCTTCTCTGCTTGGTCATACAATTGTAATTGAGATAATTGCCAAATTAGCAGGTTCAAGAGTGTATAGGAGTGTTTTTCCTGTGCATCATACATTTCAAAATTCATAAATCACATCACCAATAATGATCACAACAACAGTTATAATAAACAAATCTGAGAGCCAATTTCACGATATGATTAAACAAAACAATGATAGAGATCAAATTTTAAGAGATTATTATGCTGTAAAAGTGAAGGAGTCGTAGATGAAACCAATTTAGAAGGAGCTGTTGGAACTCGATTCAGGGCAAGAACTAACCTTTCACGATTTTTAGGTCTCTATGAGATTTCACTGAAGTGAAGTGCGTTGTTGGCGGCGGGGCGGGCGGAAGCGATGGCGGAGACGGAGGCGTCGACGATGGTAGAGGGTTGCAGGTCCGACCAGCAGTGGAAGATAAAAGTAAGCTGTGTCGAGTGAAGTAAAACGAAAAGAAGGAAATAGTTGGGGTTCATTGCAGAGCCTCGGTAGTGATGGAGGAGGGTGAATGTCGAAGGTGGGTCTCATACAAGATGTTTCACCGAGGGTCTCACAGAGGAATAGAATGGAAGCATAATAGGGAAAATGAGCAAGAAGATGATGTTGGCGTTTTTGTTGGAGAGGTGGGAGGGAGGGAAAAACAGAGCAATGGGTAAAAAAAGGAACAAGCTCTTTTATTTCTTTTCAGACTCTTCCATATCAGAAAATTAAGAGACTTATAAAAGATTAAGAGGCAAAAAATAAGAGCCTGTCAAACAAGGTATATCTGAATTTTTAAGAGGTTACGTCTTAATTTTTCAATTAAGAGGTAAACAAACAGGGCCTAATAGTTGCAAAAAATAGTTTGAAAAAAATAAAAATAAATACAAATCATAAAATCGAGCATAGTACTACGTCAGAGAGGAGAAAAAAAAATTGAATCATAAAAATTACATTTATAGTTATTTATTTATATCTTATTTTTTTCTTCCGTTTTATTTTAAAAAGTTGAAATTATATATATATATATATATATATATATATATATATATCTATATATATATATATCTATATATATATATACATGGAAAACGTCAATAGAAAACCATTATTAATCAAAAAACCAAGGAACCAATCAAAAACGTCGAAATTTAAAGCGATCAACGACAAAATAAATGGTTGTAAACTTTTACATGGACGCACATGCACAAGATGATAACAAAACTCACTAAAACAATTTAGGCCATGTTTTTTATGGAAAAAAAACCGAATATACTGTTGTTTACGATTTTTCGTCCTCTTTCCATAGAGATCCATGATGATAATATAAAACAAACTTTTTTTTTTCGAAAAAAAATTCACTTTATTTTCTTTGTTGAAAAGGTAAGGTCTATTTTTTTTATCAAAATTCATACTTTTTAAACATAGATTCATATTCTTGTTAAAAAAACTATATTTCAGTTCGGATTCACATTATGAACCTGTTCAGATTCATATTGTGAACATGTTCAGATTCAGATTGTGAACCTTCTCAGATTCACAGTGTGCATAATAATAAGTCGGATTCACAATGTGAATCTGAACTGATTGAGCTTTCTCACATTGTGAATGTTAAAAAACTGAAATTTTTACAGTTTAGATTCACAGTGTGAATCTACACTGATCGAGTTTTTTTTAGTCGGTGTTGATGTTATTAATAGAGTAAAAAGATAAGGACCCGTAGTATGTATGTATGTTATGATTTGGTCCTACTAAAAAAAACCCCAATGGGCATTACCTAGCTTTTAGCAATAGTCGCATCAAGTCTTTTTTGTTTATCCTTTACTTTTTCTTTTTCTATTATATATATATATATATATATATATATATATATATATATATATATATATATATATATATATATATTATCCTCCCTAATAAATAAAAATAATTTTGTCACATGTCATTCTCTCATTCATTATGCCAAATGTCATTTTGTCATAATTTTGAGATATTTATTTTCCATTTGTCATTACTTCATTTTTTATTTTTCAATATATCATTAATTTAGTTTCCATAAGTTAAACATACCATAATAATTATATTAATTTCAAATTTCAAACTTCAATTTCAATTTTAAATAAATTTATAGTTTTTAAACCTTTATATTTAACATTTTGTTATAATAACACGTTTAGTATACGGGTTTTAAAACTAAACACATAAATTTTAAATTATTTTTTTGCATACTTTTTTTTTCAATTTTTTTCTCATTATTTTAACTTATTTCAAATTTCAAATTGAAATAAACTTCTCATTCAATCATTTATATTTAACATTTTTTTTAATCAACCCGTATAATATACGGGTCTCACAACTAGTATATATATATATATTATATATATATTATATATATATCTATATTATATATAGAGAGAGAGAGAGAGGATGGTTCAATTGAGAAAAAAAAGGTTGAGAATGAAGGAATCATTCTAAGTGGGATGAGCAAACGACCCGAACCAGCTGGAACCGGCCCGAACCGGATCCGACCCGAGAACCGGCTGCAGCCAAAATCAAGAACCGAACCGGCCCGGCGGTTCTACCGGTTCCCGGTTCCTACCGGTTCTTGTCGTGTCTTCAAATGTTGGAACCGGTCCTCGAAAAATAGCATCATACAGTTCCGGTTTTTGCCGGTTCTAAAGGTTCCGGTTATATCGGTTCCGGTTTCTACCGGTTCCCGGTTCCAAAAATCCACAAAAATAACGTCCCGGTCCCGGCCCGACCGGTTTCATCGGGTTCCGATTCCGGTGCCGGTTCCGGTTCCGGCCGGTTCCCCGGTCCATATGCTCATCCCTAATTCTCAGCCACACATTTGTTTTCCTGCAAAACACTTAGTCGTACCAACGGAAAATGGATAACGGGTACACATATGTTTTCTAATCATACATGT